GGAGCCCTGGGACTTCTCCACCATGTGGCTCTCCTTGTAGGAGAACCAGGCGACTGCCCCGTGAGACTGGGAAGGCTAGYGGGAGGCTTCCCTCTGCAGTGAATGCCTTGCAGCTGTTCCAAGGGCATGAACGGAACAAAGTAACCCCAGTGTTATACTCAACTGTGGACCCCACGGTTCTCATGCCCCACATTGGCAAACATCCCTCAGGATGAGCCTGATTTAATCTGCTCAACCCCTGGGAAGACTCTGACCTTCCAAGTGATTTCAGCAGCCGTGAATCTTTGGCCACATGCCAAGATAATCCATCTGTGAAGGCAGATAGTTTATTGGATGTTTCAACAGAAGGAGGGCAGGAGTCGAGACATCACTGCCTCAAGAAGAAGGCCAGGTTAGGACCCTGGATTACATAAGTAGAGCCAGCAGGCATTTTGCGCTCATGACAGGCTCACAGCACTGCAAGCAGGAACACCCTGGTGCTCCAGGTGAAGTGTGGTCCTGAAGAGGCCGAAGTGTTTCCGAGAAACTCGAGGACACCATGAGATTGCTGGGGGAGCTCCAGGAAGCTTAGAACAAGCGACCAAGTACCAGACCCCTTCCCAGTATAACCTGTCCCTTGGGTCTATGATACAGAGAAATGCACCTCGCCAAACAGGTGACTAATAATCTTGAAGAACTTGCCCAGCAAGTAACTCCAGGTGCCTTGTAAGCATGCATGGAGTTGAAAAAGCAATGGGGATTTCCATTCCTTCCCCATTGTAGAGAACAATTGCGCAGATCACACGGAAGGTTATGAAGGAGTAGGGACCTGAAGCCACTGGTATTTGATTATATATTATGTACATTTTTTTTTTCATTCTGAACTTGGAAATGCTTTTGAAAATATCTTAACTATTTGTAGATTGTGCTTTTAATTAAACTTTGCAACAGTTAATTTTAATGCTCCAGATATTGAACTTCTATGAGGTAACAAAGTTTGAACCTGGGAGAGGGCTGTGCATACCAGCAAGGTTAGCCCTTGGCCTTTTCCCAGGGTGTGTCGGAGGATGTGTCAGAGAACCTTGGAACATGCCTTTTTCACGGTCATCCCTTAAAAAGAAAGTCCTCAAAATAACTGAAATCCTTAATGTTCCATATTTTCCACAATTCCCCACTAAAGAAATTAAAACCAAATTGTTCCTGAAAATAAGTTAAATAAATAAATGATATTGTAAGTGGGGGAATAAACAATGCTTGTGTATAGGGAATGGGGGCGAGTCTAGTGTGGAGAGACCATTGCAGAGAGACTGTTAGCCATGGCATTGCCCCAGCTAAACCCACTGCCAATTGTGAGTGACCACAAGCAAGACCAGAGTAGTTGTTTACAGCAGCAAGGAATGAGGGGAACCGTTACAAAAAGGAAAGGCAGAGTCCTGTGGTTCTGGTGTTGTTTTTCTAATGTGTTCCAAAGGTCTTATCTTTTAAACACAGCATACCAAAAAAAAAAGGAAATTTCTGCCAGATTATATGCCTATAATCCCAGTGATGTGGGAGGTTGAGGATTTTAAGTTCCAGGCGAGCCTGGGCTGCTTAGCAAGCCCCTGTCTCAAAATAAAAAATAAAAAGTAGGCCTGGTGTGGTGGTGCACACCTGCCTGTACTCCCAGTAGCTTGGGAGGCTGAAGCAGGAGGATCACAGGTTCAAAGCCAGCCTCAACAACTTAGTGTGGCCCTGAGAAACTCAGTGAACCCCTATCTGTAAATAAAAAAATATAAAAAGGGGTGGAGATGTGACTTAGTGATTAAGCTCTCCTGAGTTCAATTCCTGGCACCAATAATAATAATAATAATAATAATAATAATAATAATAATAATTTTAAAAATAAATAAATAAAAAGAGCTGGGGATGTATCAAAAAAGAAGTCCTATAACTTCATTTAAAAAATAAAAATAGCATTTCTGAGACGTAATTCAAGTGTCAGAAAATTGACCCTGTTAGAATGTATGATTCTTGAAGGTTATTGGTCTGCATTTCTGTTTTGTGCTGATGTCCATGGCTGTTACCAAGGTCATATAGGCCTCATAAAATGAGCTGGGAAATGTTCCTTATTCCTCTATTTTCTAAAAGAGCTTTAATAGATTATGTAATTTTTTTCTTAACTATCTTATAGAATACACTAGTGAAGATAACTGGACCCGAGTTTTTCTTTGTGGAAAGAATTATATTTTTTTAATTTAATTTTTCAAAACTCAACATGTGTCTGTTAAGTTTTTCTAAGTGGAATGCAGGGTACACGCCTGTCATCCCAGAGACTCAGGAGTCTGAGGCAGGAGGATCGAAAGCTCAAGGCCAGTCTGGGCAACTTTTAGTGAGACCCTGTCTCAAAATGAAAAATAAAAAGGGCTGGGATGTGGCTTGGTGGTAGAGTACTTGCCCAGCTTGTACAAAGCCATCCCCAGAACCACCAAGTGGGAAAAAAGGATTTTCTGAAGTCAGCTTTAGTCATTCCTTCTCCCTAAGCATTCCTCCATTTTCATCTAAATTTTTAATTATTGTAATTTTGATTTTCATATTTCTTTCTAATGCTCATCATTTCCGTTAAGTCTATAGTGTTCTCCCTCTTTTTACACAATTTTTTGTAATTAAATATTTTATTTGAAAATAAAATAAAAGCCGAGGGGTGGAAAGCCGCATTCCATCTACTGATTCCTGGTGCATATTTTTGCTCCACACTGATTTCCTATTATTAAGAGTAATTAGACTACCACAACTGTGTTACACAACAACATTTGCTTTGGTCTTTCAGAATCACTATGCAAGCCAAACTATGCATATCATAAAGCAAGTTTTCACAAATGTCAGAAATACATGGATGGATTCAAGGCTTACAGAGGAAACAYGTGCCCCAGATCATAACTTCAGGGACCTGCTGGCTGAATATATGCAAACTCGTGAAATCAGAGCTACTTTTGCTAGATATCTCAATGCTGGCAGTGCAACCCCAGCCACCCTTGCTACCCACAAGATTGCAAATTCAGACAATCCCCCTCTTTTCATTTCTATTTTGGTAATTTATGTCTTCTTTCTTTTCCTTAGCGCAGCTAAAAGTTTATCAATTCATTCTCTCTTTTTTTTCTTTTTATACTGGGAATAGAACTGAGGGGCACTTAACCACTGAGCCACATTCCTAGCCCCCTCCTCCCTTTTAAATAATATTTTATCTCTTAGTTGTAGTTGGACATAATACATTTATTTTTATGTGGTGCTCGCACGTGCTAGGCAAGCACTCTACCACTGAGCCACAACCCCAACCCCTTCCCAGCCCTCTTTTATATTTTATTTAGAGGCAGGGTCTCTCTAAATTGCTTAGGACTGACTCTGAACTTGCAATCCTCCTTCCTCAGCCTCCCAAGTCTCTGGGATTACACGTGTGCACTACTGCACCTAGCCTAATTTGTTTTTTTCAAAGAACAAGTTTTTGGGTCTTTTTTCTATTTTCTTCTGTTCCTAACTCATTAATTTGTGTTCTCTTCATCATTTCATTTCCTTGCTTCTATTCAATTTAGGTTATACTCCCTCTACCTTCTGAGCACCTTGGTTCTAAGATAATTGTGGCGTGTCACCGACTTTCCTCCAAGTGTAGCTATAGGTCCCTCCCTTCACGTGGAGTTGATATGTCGTGGTTTTGTTTTCATTCATTTTAAAGTACTTTCTGGAGCTGGGGTGCAGATCAGTGTTAGAGCACTTGTCCAGTATGTGCACAAGGCGTTGGGTTTGATCCCCAGATCTGCAAAAAGAAAAAAAAAAGGGTATTTTTTTTAAACTTTTCCTTATGATTTCTTCTTTGGCCCATTGGTTATTTACAAATATGTTGTCTAATTTCCAAACATGTAGATATTTCTCAGATTTCTCTCTCTTGTTGATTTCTAATTTAATTTCATTGTGGTAGGAGAACATATTTCAAATGTTTTCTATATTTTAGAATTGTACAGATACTTGGGTTTTGTCAAACCTTATGGTCTATCCTGCACAAGCTTTTATTTGTACTCAAAAAAGGTGTAGCCAGGTGCTGTATTACATACCTATAATATCAGTAGCTTGGGAGGCTGAGGCAGGAGGATCATAAATTCAAAGCCAGCCTCAGCAACTTAGCAAGGCCCTAAGCAACTCAGTGAGACCCTGTCTCAAAATAAAAAGTAAAAAGGGCTGGGGATGTGGCTTAGTGGTTAAGTGCCCTGGGTTCAATTCCTGGTACCAAAAAGATAATTTAAAAAAAAAATAACATGTATATTTTGTTATTCTAGGTGGAGTTTCCTACATATGACTAGTATTTCAGTTTGTTTTCATTTCTTGTGATTTTTGCATTATTTTAGGGGGGGTCCTATTTTCAGATGCATGGATATCTTTAACTTTGTGTTTTCCTACCCCTTTGCCATAGTCCTTACCCTTTACCATAATAAAACATCCCTCTTTGTCTCTAGCAATATTGTCATTTAAGTCTACTTTTACATCTGGCCGTGCCTCCTAATGACTGCTTACATGCTATGTATGTTTCCAACTTATTTGATTTTCAGCACTAGAGAAGGAACCCTGGGCCTGACACAGGGAGGCAAGTGCTCTGCTACTGAGCCACACCCCCAGCCCTCATTCCTTTAGGGACACCAAGATGGTGGAGGCAGGGCCTGAGAAGGCTGTCCTAGGAAGGGGGCCAAGGCCTGTAGTCCAAGCAGCTCAGGAGGCTGAGTCAGGAGGATGGTGAGTTCAAAGCCAACCTCAGCAACTTAGCAAGGACCTGAGTAACTGAGACCCTGTCTCTAAATAAAATGTAAAATGAGGGCTGGGGATGTGGTTCGTGGTTAAGTGCCCCTGGGTTCAAAATCCCTGGTACCAAAAAAAAAAAAAAAAAAAAAAAAAGGAACCTGTGTTAGTCAGGACCTTTCACGTAAAAGATATACAACCAAATCGGTTATAACTCTTACAATTTTAATACCAACTGTCTTAGATGACACAGGAAGTTGATGGCTCAGGACTCTTAAGTCTACAGGACAGAGGGTCCACAGTATAAAATGGCGAGGTTTGATATTGCAGTGCTCATGATGCCACCACACAATGTTTCTCTTCCTCTCTCCAGCATTTACTTCATCCTCAGGCCCTGCTGGTGTCCTCCCCTAAATTCTCATCCCTCTCTCGTGTCCCCTTGTAAAAGCAAACTGGCCACTGCTTTTCCGGACCTCAGATGCTCATATTACATACAAGAGCATGGAGGCTGCAGTGCTTTAGAATCCCCAACCCAGGGGATTGTGTGCTCTTTGGTTCTGGTTGGGTTACATGATGACTACTGAAATTTACTGAAATTCTTGGTTGCCAGAAGGCATGGCCATGCTGCTGCCTCCGCTGAGAAGGCTGTCCACACCTCTCAGTAGTGATAGAGGGCGGACTGCACGTGCTGGCTCGCCCCCTGGCTCAGGGGTTCACATGCTTAAGGAGGGGCACAAACCATGAGTGAAATCACAAACCTCACTCTGCCAGTGAGGTTTTCTGTCGTCCGCCCCAGCTCGTTTGGCCTCAAGCATAACCTGACCTCAGCAATTACCTCTCCCTCCCCACTTGTTTCCGTTCAGGCCAGGGCTCCATAATGCCCAGCTTGGGTCAGTGTCTATYCCTCGGCCCATCAGTGTCGCCAGAGGCAGAGAGTACGGTAACTGGCACGTTCCCAGGGCCATCCCAGTGGTCACAGAGAGCGGGAAGGAAATGCACAGCAGAAGCAACGGCTTCGTGGCCAGAAGCGGGAGCGCTGAGCCTAGTCACGCAGCTCTGAAGACTGGCTCGCAGGAACGGCGGGGGCTGCAGGGACACCCGCCCCAAGCCCGCGGTCTTCGACGAACTACACAACCTCAGAACGCGAGTCCCACAAGGTCACGGCCAGCTCCCGGCGAGGGCCGGCGCCCCTCCACCCCGGGAGCTCTCCCCGCATCGCCCACGGGCGGGCACCGCCTCTCCAAACGCGAGCCAGCGTCCCGCCCACGCCCTCTCGAGGACGGGAGGACCCCTGAGGCTGGCGAGATGGGCTGGCGCGGTTGAGCCGCCGAAGAGGCAGGTAGGAACTGGCCGGCCAGAGCGCGAGAAGCAAGCGCCTCTTCAAGGCCACAGCGCCACGATAGGCCGAGGGCTGCGTAGGGCCGGAATGCCCCGGGCTAGCACTGCGCAGGCTCCAGGGTGCACCAGCGCTCTCGCGTCCTCTCGCGCGACCCCAGTCTCCTCGACGAGCCCGGGGAAAGGCGCGGTGCATTCTGGATGCTATAGTTCTATTCCGGGACAAGCGCCCTCAGACGCGGGGAAACGGAGACTCCAAGGACTACGACTCCCGGCGTGCCGCGCGCGGGGATTCGGGCGTTCGCCCRGGGCGGCCTCAGCCGTCAGAGCGGAGGGAGGCGGGCCGCGAAGACTGCCGCGGCGGGAGGAGGGCGTGCGCGTGCGCGCGCGCTGGGCCGGCCCGTCCTGTTCCGTCCCAATCCTTGTAAACAGGCGGAGGCCGGGCGGGGTGGGAATGGGGCGCCCGAGGCTGGCCCGGGGCGCGGCGCAGAAGGCGGCGGCCGCGGCCGCTGTGGCAGCGGCGGGGCGGGCGGTTGCGCGGCGGCCGGCGCAGGTCAGTCGCGGGGGACGGTAGCACGGGGTCGCGGGTTGCCCTCGCGTGTCACCGGGCTCGGGCGGGGGGCGTGGCCGGCGCGGTGCTCCTCCGGAGCAGACTCCTCTTCTTTGCCCCCGGGCTCGGCCCTCCGCCCGCGGGGCGGCCGCCTGGCTCACCACTCCGGTGCGGGGCCTTCGGGCGGGACGCTGGCCAACACCGAGCTGCGGGAGGCTCGGGGCACCGTGCGCTGAGGAGGCTGCGGGAGGCACCGGGCACCGAGCGCAAGGAGGCTTCGGGGGGCACCAGGCACCGAGCGCGAGGAGGCTGCGGGGGGCACCGGGCACCGCGCGCAGAGGAGGCTGCGGGGGGCACCCGGCAACGTGAGCGGAGGTGGCTTGTCTGGGGGCACCGAGCGCAAGAAGGCTTGTCTGGGGGCACGGGGCACCGAGGGCGAGGAGGCTGTCGGGGGCACCGAGCGCGAGGAGGCTGCGGGGGCACCTGGCACCGTGAGCGGAGGAGGCTGCGGGGGGCACCGGGCACTGCCGCGGAGGAGGCAGCGGGGGCGTTCGGCATCGTGAGCGGAGGTGGCTGCGAGGGGCACCTAGGGCAGCGCGCAGGGGAGGCTGCGGGCCTGGCGCCTGCGGGCAGGGTCCTCTGCAGGTCTCGGCGGGAGTGGACTGCTCGTCTRCGTTGGAGTTGAGACTTCCCTTCCCAGATCACTCCCAGGGTGTTGGTGCGCAGGCTTGCGGGCCAGCTTGCCCTCGCCTCTTCTGCATTCAGCATTGCGAAACAGGTTTACAGAACAGCCCCCACCTCTTCCAGAAGTGGTCACGCTAGTTTAAGTTTTGGCGTTAGGTACTGCAGGTGGCCACTCCTTGAGCAAGCGGCGCGCTTTGGCTGGAGGCCTAGCAGCATGCTCGAGGGTCAGGAGAACCTTAGTTCGTGGTATCTTGAACGTGCAGCCATGTGGACACTGAGTGAGCGTCGCACCCTGCCCAGCCTCGGTGGGGAGATTTCCACTAAGTTTCTGCCTCTTGGAGTGGAAGCATCCTGCTGCAATCCTTCAGGCAGTGCTCTGTCGCACTTGGCAGTCATTCCCCAAATACTGGAGGGTGATAAGGTGTAGGCCCATTTGGGTTTGGTGTTCAGAGAGTCAGCACTTCTAACGAAATGAGACTCAATGAGAAAGAAAACCTCACTTCTCTCTTCAGAATTGTCTGCGTCATTTGACAGTTTTTTGGATTGTCTTCTGAAAGGGATTAATTACTGTGGACTGTATGGGCAGGAGTAGGCAGTGGGTCCCAATTTCCGTTTGATGCTCTATAGGTCCAAGTGGGATATGCTGGTTTTAACAGTAACTGCTGATAAGTAAATTTTTAAAAAGTAACAAGAAGCAGTGTAAGATGACCTAATTTTCTCACTCTTCAAAAGCATTATTTACTGTAGGTCTTGCAGGGACCATTTTCTCTAAAGTAAAAAGACGGAAGTGGTATCAGAAGGCTTACATCAAGTTCATGCAGTTATGGTTTGTGCAGCTATATTTGCAGAGTTTTTGCTTGGCAAGGAGAGATCAGGTTCAGATAACCCAAAAATATGTTTGTTCTTTTTAAAATGCAAAATCCATGATAGAAGCTTATGTTAGCATTTGTAAGAAGGAACAAGGAAAAGTGCTGATTATTTAGAATACAAGAATTACTGTGTGGTAGGTTCTGTGCCAAATAAAGATGGTTTGAATATGGATTAGACCACACGGCCCCTTTAGAAGGTCAGACTTGATCTTTTACTTGAATCATCAGTGAGTGCAATATACATTGCAATATAAATTGTTTGGGCCTCATGCATGCTAGGCAAGTGCTCTACCACTGGGCTATACTACCAGTCCACAGATGCCTTATGTTTTTAATATTGCTTTGACTGGAGAAAGCATGGGTGTTTAGTGATGTACAGAGGGGTAGTGGTTGATTTGCGGAGTGGGTGTGTGTATAGGTGTGTATTGGGATTTAACCCAGGGGCATGTTACTACTGAGCCACATCCTCAGCCCTTTTTTATTTTGTGTTTTGAGATAGGGTCTCACTAAATTGCTGAGGGCCTAAGTTGCTGAGGCTGGCCTCAAACTTACAATCTTCCTGCCTCAGCCTCCTGAGTCTCTGGGATTACAGGCATGTACCACCATGCCTGGCTAGTGGTCAGTTTCTTAAGGGAAGCCATCTGTTTGTGTTCTAAGTGGTGGCTCAAGTCTTTGATTTAGGGGAGCACCACTTGGGAAGAGTTTACGGATAACAAGTTATTCTGGAAACAGGCCTTGGAGAACAGGGACACTTAAAGCCAGAAAGAGGAAGAATTGGAAAAGGAAATTCCTAGGTGTTCAGAGATACAGAGGAATCATGAGAAGGAATGTCATCAAAAAGGAAGCTGTACTTGACAACAGTTAGTGGTTTGGACATGAGGTGCCCCCAAAGTTTCTGTTGGTGCAGGACTGTTCAGAGGTGAAGTGATTGGATTGTGAGAGCTGCAACCTAACCAGCCCAACCTAGTTTGAGAGGGCTGACTGGGTGGTAACTAGGCAGGTGGAGCAGGGCTGGAGGAGGTGGGCCCCTGGGGACTACCCTGGAGGGTGTATCTTCCCTGTGACCTCTGCCCCCTCTCCTGATCTCTGCTTCCCAGCTGCCTGAGTGGAGTAGTGCTCCACCCACTCTTCAGCCATGTTGTGCTGCCTCATCTGGGACCCAGAATAGTGGACTGACACCCTGGAGTGAACCTCTGGAACCAGAACTAAATATAAATAAGCCTTCCCTCCTCCAGGTTGTCCCTGGCAGGTATTTTGGTCATAGAGACACAAAGCTAACACAATAACCAATTCTTTGGAGAAAAGAAAAATCTTTTTTTTTTTTTTTTTGAAGGAAAGTGTTCCTTTAAATTCTTTGAGTAGTTGAGTAAAACAGGATTATATTAGGAGTCTATCAAATTTGATAACTATGAGTTATTGAGTTTAATAACTAAGTGATTTTGATGGAGTGGTTGGGAAAGGAGCGCAGCAGCCATTAAGCGAGGCAGGGTCCTGCAGAAGTGCAGTGGGGACTTGGGGAGTAACTGTATCAGCTGTGAAGGGAGGGGGCCAGGTGAGCAGAAGGTGACCAAGCCTTGTGGGAGCGGTCTTTAACACGGCAAGGACTCAAACCTTTCACACAACATCTTTTACTTTAAACAGTGTCTTCATTGAAATATAATTCACAGACCCATGATATTAAAACCCTTTTAAAGTGCAAGTTCAATGGTGGCTAGTGTATTTAGAGTTGTGCATCCATCTCTCAGTAAGTTTTAGAACATTTACATTAAGCCCCAAAAGAAACCTTTTACCAGCCTCTCCCAAGCCAGGGGTTGAGGGAACCTGGATCTGTGACTTTTGGTCAGTGCAGGTGGCACCGTGGGCTTGTGACCTGTAGCTGAAGCAAGTGCCGAACACTGGGTTCTGTGGACTAATCAGAGTGCGCCCAGTTGGTGTCGGAGGTTGGAGAACTGGGGTTTGCTGTGGATGACAACGATCACTTGGTGTGAGAAGAGTCGGGAAGCGCTCCTGTGGGGCTCTCACGCATAGCGTTTGAGCAGCTGCCAGCCGTGTCCAGAGCAGCATCCCACTTCATAGTCCAACTCTCCACATCTTTGCCAGCATTTGCTATTCCCTTGGGTGTGCCGCGGTGTCCTCTGGCGGGTTTGCTCCCATTTCCGTGGTGGGTGACGGTGTGTCTATGTGCTTGGCAGTTGCTTGTGTCTTGTCTTTGGAGAAATACCTATTCAGGTCTCTGCCCATGTTTTATGGGGCTGTTTCTTTCGGGCCCCTCGCAAATGGGCATGGCAGAGGAAGCTGTCAGTTCAAGGCCCCCAAGAAGCAGAGGGAGGAGAGAGGGAAGGATAGGCCCTCCCAGGGCACTCAGCAGTGACTTCTCTCCAAGTGGGACCACCCCGTGCTAGTCTCTTCAGCCAGGATCAGTGGAGTAATCCACTGAGGAGGTCAGAGCCCTTATGATCCAGTGCTTTCCCAGAATTCTACCTCTGAACGCAGGAGGCTCTGGGGACATTGCAGAGCCATGCCATAACACCCATTGTAAATCTAAAAAATATTTTAAGTTGAAAATGCAGCTGATGCCCTGATAAATTCGTTGTAAATCAAAAAATCCTGAGTTGAACCACAGGAAGTCCAGGTGCTCCCCAGTACAATGCACTTGCGTCCTGGTAAAGCCACACGAAGTGGGGGGATCTTTAGCTGACGCATCCTAAGTTGGGACCATCTGTGTTAAGTTCTCTGGCTGTCAATCTGAATGTCTTTCCATTTATTTAGATTTCCTTTCATTTCTTTCAGCATAAGTTTTCATTTTGTAAGTCTTTCATTTCCTTTTTGTCATGTTCATTGCGTATTTTCTGTCTTCATTGTGTGTCTTGTAACTTTGCTGCATTCCTTTACCCAGTCGTT